TCGCCAATCTATCCTCAATGTGCCCGGCATTCCTGCAACCACATCTGCTTTATCTCTGCTGTAACTCTCTTGCAGTGATATCAGGAATTATGAGATCTGCTTCAATTCTGTTTCTATTCTTTCCCCTACTTATGTAGAAGAAGCAAATTGGATATTTCTGCTGAATACTGTAGTGAGAACTTTCGCTTTCTTTTGTTCTTTGGAAGGCATTCTCTGAAAGCTTGGTTCATTCAGCTGGGGCTCTCAACATTTGGCTTCGCTTGTAAAAAACCTTTAAGGGACGTTTGCTTAGAGCCATGCATTGCCGACCTTCCCCACACTGTGCTCAGCACATGCCTGTCCTTTTAAGGTCATTTGTTTATTCTTTAGCGCCCAGCCAATCCTGCTTAAACCACACAACTTTTAAATCCCTGCCCAACCACACTGGTCGTGGGAGTTTTTATTAAAGGCACAATTAACGGAAGCCAGGTTTCATTGATAGCTCTGCTTGTTTTCTGTCCTTCAGTTCATTAATTCAATTCAATTCAACATGTATTTATTAACTTTCCCTATAATGAAAAATTTTAAAGCTTACATTTTCCTTCCAAAGGTCACACTGTGGGGGAATTCAATTTTACAGCAATGGTTTTAAACCCAGGCAGCTGGTTGAAATTCGATGTTCTTCAGCATTATATGGAGAGATAGGAATCTTTATACTGATAGAAACAATTTCTTTGTTTGCTTAAAACAGGCTTTTAAAAAATGAGTCCCCACTACTGACAGTGTGTGGCACAGTGCCTGCCGAGAATTACTCTTGGCAGTTTCCATCTCCAAACACAGAAAGGAAGTGTGTACTTAAATGGGACTAGATGCCACTTCTCAAAGTGGTTTGCATCCCATGCTTTACTAGAGGGACTGAGGAAAATACCTTAAACTTCTAAATTAGCAAGTCTTTATGCAAGAAATAAGGCCATGGCTTAGGAAGGAAGCAAGTGCATTTTTTTTTATCTGCCAAGTAGCTGACTGAACTATACGGGAATCACTTAACATCTTTTAGAACTGATGGAGAAAAGAAGATCAAAAGGTATATTCATACAATTCATTCTAAGACGCCCCAGGAACATGTCACCCCGTGAAGGTTATGGGTACCCACAAGAATCAGATCTTTCATAAGTTGTTGTAAGGTAATGGGATGGTCAGGTTTGGATTTACTATGAATGTTATGCTCAAACTTCAGGGTTATTTCTTTCATCTAAAACGGGACACCGTGATTAACACTGTCATGTAAACTTCGCCTACATCAGTGGTAAAATAGTATCAGACGGTCTATCCAAATGCACTTCATTTTGAGAAGTTATGAAAATGTATCCTATAATTTGAGCAGAAAGTGTCGCACTATGAGACTCTTTTAATCGTGAGTCTGATCTAGCTCGTCTCCTTGTGGGGGTGGGGCATTCATAATCACCCAAGCCAATTTAAAGCATTTTTGATTGATTACAATTTGAGATACATTTTTTTCCTTTCCTAAACCTCTCAGTTTCTCAGATCAGCAAATCCCATTTTAGACTAAAATTTAGTGCCATTTATGGAACAAGAGACAAACAACTATTTAACTAACTTATACCTCCTCATGGTAGGCGGCATCCAAAACCCTTTTACTCAGCGGTTATAGAAGTCCATATAAGTTCAAAGCTAAATGACTTCAATACGTTTGACTTTCTTCTTGAAATAGCCGGCAGACAATGTTCAGAATGAGCCACTAAATTTTGGTGTAACAGGATAAAGGTTGTTTCTAATATCAATACTTTTATCTTGATTTTTTTGTGTCATTCAGAAATGTTCCCAGTCGAAAACAACTCTTAAAAACACTCTTACAGCAATAGCCCATCTTCACAGATGAATGTTTGCAGTTGAATTGGGAACAATCTGAAAATAAAGGCCACAGCCAAAATCAGTCCTCTGCCTTGACAGTTCAAGAAACCAACGTCTCCTTCTGGAATTTAGTGAAAATGGGAGAACCTGCCTTCCCTAGATTCCCTGTGAAACACTAAATGCTTTCTTGCCTCATAATGATTTTCTAATAATATAATACCAAGCTAAAGTAAATAGTTTTAAAATAGCTACTCATAAATCCTTGGAAACTCTCGCCACTCTGTTTGTGTAGGCAGGGCGTACCTAATCAGCTTGCATGGCTTCAAATGTGATGCAGAGCCTACAACATAAAGTAACGATGTACACCACCAACAAGTCAGACACCACACACAGGACCCAATGTGAGAACACATCTGAGAGACAGAACACATGAGAGACACCAGAGCCACACCCATGACTGGGGCCCAGAAGCAACTGGTTGTGTTTCTGTGACAATGCGGAAGTCTTGGTTGACGGAAGAAGTACCCAGACATACTTTGTAAATGTATGTGGATACTGACCTGGACTTGTGACAGGACTAGAGGAAGTAGGCTCAATAATTTCTACAAAAAGGGAAAAAGGAAAGAAAAGAAAAACATTGTGTGTATTAATCATACATAGAGACAAACACCCATGAAGACAATCAGCAAGCATGCAACAGGTACTCAGCAGGACTCTGATGTGTGACTTCCCTGAGTGCAGAGTGACTGGTAAAGCCTTGTGTCTGAGGCTTACAAAATGCCTGTGATGCATTTGCTGTTAGGCCCTTTCCTGTGCTGAACTAACATCCAGGAGACATTTCTAGCTTAGTTTACAGAATCACATTTACTATGCCAAGGGCCAGAACCTGCTCTTGGAATTTTCAGGCAATGACGTGTGAAGGGTTTTCTTCTACTAAAATCCTACATGTCATGTTCTAGAGGGCGCACTGGCCCCTACATAGCACTCAGTCGAGATTTGCTTAGCATCTGCTGAGAACTCAAATCATGGGGAAATTCCAAATGATCCCAGTTTGTAATTTTAAAGATTAAACCTCATTATTTCTAAGCACAGAACATGACTGCCCAGTCATTTCCACATTAATGTTTTGGAGTAAAAAGTAGGCCTTTATACACATACCCATTGTGGTGGTCAGTGCTGTCCACTTGACTCAAACCAGAACCAGCTGGGAAGAGAGTCTTACTGAGGGATTGTCTAGATTAAGTTGCTTGTGAGCATGGCTATTGCTATGTTCTTATTCAAATTAATTGAGGCAGTGAGACATGTCCACTGTGGGTAGTATCATTCCCTAGACAGAGGATTCTGGGTTGTTTAAGAGTAGAGAAACTGAGCTGAGCACTATCAGGCATGCATTAATGCATGGCTCTCCTGCTCTTGGACCATGGATGTGTCTAGCTCCTTCAGAGTCTTACCACCTTGACTTCACCTTCATTGATGGTAATCTGGAATTGTGGGCCAAATAAACCCTTTATCCCTTAAGTTGTTTCAGTCAGCATTTTATCAGAAGAGTAGAAAACAAGAATAAGACATTCATACACTGTGCACTTACACATACAACACATATGGAACAAGAGTGCCTGAATCATACGGTCCTAACACCAGATGCACAGATAGCTTCCCAATGCAACCTCCTTGCAAGATTCTAACCAACTGCGTAGCACTAAGATCACCACCACACCTCCACTCTAGATGGTCCTTTCTTAACCTTCTTTTAAAGAAAGTCTTTTCAGTTGGCATGTGTTGGTGACAATGAAAATAGTTATACAAAGGTCAGCTTTGTCACTGGCAATCTAAGTGACAGCAGAAGACCCTTGGCGACCATTCCTGAAGAGACAGAACTCAAATATTAGCGCATCTTGCATTCTTGAGGAACTGTGGCCTGAAAAAAGAGCCACATTTTATTTTTACTATAGAACTTGGTCATCACCAATTTGTCACAATATGAAAAAGACAGCACTAATTCTTTCAACTGAATACATGGAAACTAACGGTGGGAGTAAAAGTAGAGACCCACATTCATGACCTTGCAGCTGGGAACAGTTGTGCAGGGTCCCTGGGAGATGGTGCTGAGCAGACAGGAAAGTAGTGTCTGTGTATGTATGTATGTATGTATGTGTATATGTGCACATGCATGTGTATAGGTGTGTGTATATTTGTGTGCATGTGTGAATGTGTCTCTGTGTGTATATGCATACAAGTGTGTATTTATGTGTGTGTTTGATCTGCCACTGTTTGTGGAATCTCTTTTTTTTTTATAGTGCAAAGCACAGCAATCTGCAGTTCCATTCACAGCAAGCACGTTAAAATGGAGAGTCTCTATGAGTCTACTTTGGCTATTGGTTTTAATAATGAAAACCTCGCATGGCAGGAGATATAAAGTAAGCCTTCCAAAGAAAACATTTTTGATGTTTAGCTACCTAAATAACCCAAGTATGTGTTTGTCCCATCAACAGGGTGACTCATCTGGGACGTGGGCCATTTTCTGTTTCTGGGCCAATAGACCCTGCAAAATATTCAGACAGCTAGAATATATGATAACCAGATCTGGGAGTGTTCACACCCGTCAACAGAGGTGTCCTCGGATGGTGAAAGACTGTAAGCTATAGTTAAAGTGTGGAAGCCTAGCCATCTGTCTGACGGTGGGAGCCGTGCAATTGAGAAGTTTTGAACTGTAAGAATATTTAGCAATTTCATTAAAATTCTGTTGATCATAAGAACTAATAAAACCTTATGTAAAAATCACAACAGAAGAAAGATGTTCTAGTGGACAATGTTTTTTAGGTGCAATGATAAAAATTAGAATACTTTCCTGACTATTATTCTTTTAAATTTAAAATATTCTATGACACCTTGGAAATGTTAGTTTAATGTTATAAAATAAATTCATCAATAGAAACTTTATTGTACACACTCGGAATTCTTTACATCAAAAGAGAAAGGCAAGCATTATAGGGGTCAGAAAACAGCCTACAGGAGTCTTCATGGGCAAACTGCATTCAGTGGGGCAGAAAAAGAGGCTTCTATGGTCAGTAATTAGGTCAAGTGGACTTCACTTTCTCTGTTTGTTTTGAGTCTGTAACACCAATCTGTAAACTTGTGGAGGAGGACTCGTGACATCCAGCAAGGACGTCATCCCAGTGAGAGGAAGGGAGAAACAAAGCACTATCCTCACCATCTCTTCACCATGTTTGTTTGCTTGTATAAAGCCACATTGCCTCACAGAGTGGGTTTGAAAATAACACAGGAATTCAGCGCATGAAAACGTGTTACAGGTAAGATCTGTCCTGTGGATTCTGCTTCACAGCCAATTTGAGATTTGTTTGTTCTCAAATAGAGTCAGACAAGTTAGGTTCCCTACTGAGGCGAGTTTATGAAAAGAAATAATTACAAGCAGAGGATTTAGTTGAGTGTAAAAAATCTAGAGGTCACATGTGTGCCTGGGCGTCATAACCAAAAGAGAAACCAGGGTGAGACAAAGGGCTATGTGTGGGAAGCCCTGCTGCCCAGGAGGGGAGACCTTGGATGGTTCCTGGGTGTGAGGAAGCCCATGAGTTACACGGACTCGGCTCATCTAGGATCGTATCTCTTACCTACCTCCATTCTGCATGTGAGGACCAGAAGTTAATGAAACTCTGAGCACAGCTCTCTCACTTGTGAAATTTAGCTAGAACTCCCCCTTTTGTAGATTCTGGGAGATGGCTAAGCGTGCCGGGCACAGAATAAACAACCAAGCAAGAGCGGGCAGGGTGGGGATGTATTATTATAAAGGAGCTGGGAAATGACTGGGAATCTGAAGAGCTTTCAGTGAACTTAGGGGCATGAATTTGCCACCCAGAAGAGAAAGTTGTGAGAACTGCAACATGTAGTCTACTCAGAAAGTAAGTAGGTAAACTATTCCCAATTTAAAAAGTGAATGTGGTGATCCACCCACTGAGACAGTGTGCCTGATCTAATGGGAACTCACCAAATCCAGCTGGACTGGGACTGAACAAGCATGTGCTCAAACCAGACTCTCTGAATGTGGCTGCCAATGGGGGCAGACTGAAAAGCCATCTATAATGGCACTGGGATTTGTTTCTACTGCATGTACTGGCTTTTTGGGACCCTAGTCTATCTGGATGCACACCTTCCTAGGCCTGGATGGAGTGGGGAGGGCCTTGGACTTCCCCCAGGGCAGGGTACCCTGCCCTCTCTTGAGGATGGAGGGGGAGGGAGGAGGGGGGGAGAGGGGAGGGGGAATGGGAGGAGGGGAGGAAGTGTAAATTTTTGAATGGAAAAATAAAAAAAAGTGAATGTGGGTATTTCAGCAGTTCTGACAGAGATAAAGTTTACATTGTAAATCTATAGATTCAGATACAACAATTGTTTTAAAAAAGTATACTTTAACCCTAAAATGGGAGTTTTGTGTCAAATTATAGGGATACATTTCAACACATATAAAACATGATTCAGAAAGATACTCTCCTTTGTGTCTCTAAACATGGGAACTAGCTGCTGTTTTTAAAAGGGAAACAATCATTTAGAAAATCTTTTGAGTAATAGGTGAATTAACTATCTCCATTAAATCTACCCTGGATTTTTTTACTGGCCATTGATTCAATATTTCAGCAATTATTTATTCTTTATCTGTTATAGCAACAGTAATTACTGTTATATTAGCTAAAATTGGAAAACTTATAAATTCTTAGTATATGGCAGGCATGAATACATGTCATGTAGTCTCACATGCTGCTCTCCCAACATTTCTGTGAGGCGGGTGCCATTCCGGGTGCATTCCCAAGTGAGGCATCCCAGGTGAGGCAGATGCTGTCCCAGGAATGTTCCCAGGTGAGGAAAAGGAGCTTAGAGAGGTTAAAAGTCGGGTCATAGTCAGGACCTAATGAAATAGAGACAGGAGACATTGTGTTTTCGTTTTCTGCTTGCCACATTCGGCTGCATCTGGAATTACTGCAGCAGAACATTCAAAGCAAAAAGCAGGCCACCACTATGGCTTTTGTACCCATGACTTTTTTTTTTTTTTTTCACCAGCCTGGAAAACAGGCAGATCCAACCCCTGCCACTTCAGGCGGCTTCTCTAATAGATTTTTGTTTTTTAAAAACCAACAGCAAGATTTACCACGACTATCCTTTGTACAGTTGCTGGGGCTTATCCAGCTGGTATAAGGCTCAGTGCCATAGAGAGAATGTTCAGCGAGTGCAGAGAATGTCATCAAGACAGAAGCACACTGCTGAGGGGCTGAGGAAGGCCTTTGCACTTACCAGCCACCACTCAGCTAGCGGTGGTTTACTGAGAGTGCTTAGCTTTCAAGAATGTCGCTGTTTTTATGGGGATCAGATGGGAGCTGCCGTTCTGCACCTTAGTCATCAACTTGTGAGCAGAGAGGTATCTTTCTCAAGGTGGAGAGTGCACTCTCCTGATGAGCCTCAGAGGCCCCACGAGTCGTCTTTTAGCTCATTAGCTGTAGCATCAGAGCAAGCCGGGGAGGGTTAAGGGCTGCGTGTATCATCGAAGTCACTGAGGGACTATGGGATTGGCGGTGGCAGAGGGGCAGTTTTGATTGTACGTAAAACAGGGTGAAGATAAGTTCACCCAGACAGACATTTTAAGACATTTATTCAGAAAACAGACAAGGTGTAAAAACAGAAATATTTTTCTTTATTAAATGTAATTTTGTCCAGGAAAAAAATGTTAATTAAGAAAGCACAGAGAACCAGTGAACCACTGACAAAGAATTTTTCTGTAGACTATGCTAATTATTGTTCACTACATACGTGGCCTGGTACCAGATTCTCTGGTACCTTCACGTCTACTTATTTTAGGTCCCATTTTGATCCTAGGTTGTTTTTTACTCTTATACTGTGATATCGTAGTGATATGTGTGCACGCTATCTTTTGGACTGGAGAGATAACAAGACTGAGCTGCAGAGATAAGGCAGAAATTAATCCTTTTGGTTGCCATGGTTTCATTGAAAGATCTGATTGCCATTCTCTGTGGTGCTGAGGCAGTAGGATGGAGAGCATGCAGCTCGCCGCATCCAAGGTTAGCATTGATAGGAACACAGAAGACAGAAGGCAGAGCAACCATCGGGACCCACCATGAGCTCTGGAGTTTCCCTTTGACACACAGGCTGGGCAGAGAAACAGGTGGTGTCGGGACCACAGCTTTACCTTCAGAAAGAAATGCATGAGTGATCTACATTCACGTGGTTTAGTGGATCCCCAGGAGCAGGAGCCTCTTCCCAATACATACTGCAGTTTTCAGGCAGCCAGGAGATGCAGCTTTCATCTCTAGAGCTCTGAGGGTGCAACACCATGCCAGCTCTGGGTTGCATGGTTCTGATATATCAATACTAGGAACTAACAATTGGCCTTCCTACTTCCCTGGGTGACTTGGCTTCCAACTCAAGGGGATTAAGGAAGGACATTTGAGGGAAACTGACTATGGCCAGGTCTTAGATGTAACACTCTGAAGCCTCCACTGTACGTATGCTTCTGTATATACAAGCAGCACAGGTGGAGCCATTTTCCAGTCAGCCTCAGCGGGGAAAGTAGACACACACAAGGCACATACTGCATCGACTGCAAATAGCTATGTGTCATTGTGAATGGTAGTTTGTTGACTTTCGGTGTGTGTACGTGTGTGTGCATTGCACATGGGTTGTATGTGTGTTTGTGTGTGCATGTGCACATGTGTGTGCATGTGCATACGTGTGTATTTTTGTGTGGGCATGTGTGTTTGTGTGTGTGCATGTGCTCATGTGTGTGGGCATGTTTGTGTGTGATATGCATGTCTGAGTATGCATGAATGCATGCAGGCACATGTGTGTGTAACTTGGGGATTGATATCAAGTATCTTCTCCAGCTGTGCTCCACCTTATGTATTGAAGTCTAGTCTCTCACTGGACTTGTGCTTGGCACCTCAGCTCCTAAGCCAGCCAGCTTGCTTTACCCACACCTGTCTCTGGCGGTCACTGTATCAATCTGGATTTGAGGTAGATTCTGGGTACCTGAACTCCTGAAGTGCACATGCTTGCTGAGCCATCTCTCCAGTCCTTTAGGTTATTACTCTTAAAATTCAAATGATAACAAATGTTTTTAAAAATCATTGTAGCACTATTAACACTTTATGCTGTTATAAATGGCTAGCACAAAATTCAACCTAAAAATTCATTTTCTCAAGAAAACAATTTCTATTAATGAAATAAGAAGAGTATTCTAAATGCCTGCAGAAGAGCAAGGCCTCTGGGTCACACACACACACACACACACACACACGCGCGCGCGCGCGTGTGCGTGCGCGCGGATTTCCTGAGATTTAAAAGGGCTATTGACACTAAAATCACCACAGAAAATTGGGTTGCAAAGCAATATAATTCCTTCTAATCTGGAGGAGATCTGAGAGAATTTCTTTTCCATGAAACTTATTTGACAGTAACTGTAAAAGCCAGCAAAAATCCTTCTGCAGACAGGCCTTCCAGCGACGGAACTCAGCTGAGGCCCTGCAAAACCAGCAGGGTCCTCATCCCAGCTCCCTGCAGACCTCAGACTGCACTGGGCACTGTATCCTTCCCCTGTGTTCTGTCTCTGACATCTAATAACCAGGAGTCTTTGTGGTGTGTACTAACGAATAAAGGCTGCAGATGGAGCCAGACGACAGCTATCTGCTCACACAGGAGACCTGACCTGGTACACAACATTCTCAACTCTTATCTAGGCGCTGACCCAGCTCCCTTTGTAGTGACTGGTTTGTCAGCTGCTTGGTGTGGTACCCCACGTGTGGGAAGATGCAGCCTTGAAGGGGAATGTTCTCCCTCATTGTACCTTGATGTGTGCTATTACAGAGCAAACTGAACTTTGGTGGAGTTAAAAAGTCTTCTTGAAACCGCGTCAGCCTTATCTAGCCAGACTTCTTCCCACTCATGTCCCGCCAACCTTCCATTCTGGGCTGTCACTAGGTAGAAAACAATGACGATTGCAATCTTTGGTACACAATAAACATCCAATCCATCACATTAACTATCTTTAAAATGCCTATCATGGACCAAGGACTGTACTCAGATCTTTACAGAGATTATCTTATTTTTACAATCACCTTGAAAGGTAAGATGTTGTTTTTCCTGCTTTGCAGCTCGGCAAACAAGTTCAGAGGAGTTTAATCTACCTAATGTCACCACTGTGGCATAAAGTAAGCAGATAGGATGTGTTTTTCTTCTTCATGTAGGTGACAAAACAGGGCCCGAAACGTGTGTGACTTGGCCAGATAGTCTAAGCAAGTGAGCATGCAAGTCATACCCATACACAGAAGCATCCATGTAAGACACCAGGTAATTGGTTGAATCACAGACATGTAGAGGTGCTCCGCAAATGGGGTCTTGTGAGTGGCTAAATGAAGGGTGCTTAAACAGTACTCACTCCAAAGGCTAAGTGTGCAGACTCTGGTCCGGCATAAATTTTATTTTCTACTACCTATGGCCTCTAGATAGATTTAAATAAAAGCTGACGTTAATTTATCAAAATACACACTATTAAATGGTTCAGGACAAATGAACATTAAGAGAAGATCATTTACTTAAAAGATAGATGCCTGAACATTTAGTGACAACACAGGAGAGGAGAGTGTGGTTGGAGGAAGCTTGGTGACTTTCCAGTCTGGGCAGAAAACTGTGCAGATAAAGTTGGCTCAACAGCTGCAGCCTCCTCTGGCACAGCCACTAGGAAAAGGGGATTATAAACACTCACAGTGGTAAAGAAGCCTGCCTTTAGGGATTCCGGATATCAGCTCAGTCTGCACAGCCATATCTTCCTTTCAGGCATGAAGACTTGGGTTTGAGCCCCTAGTCTACACATGAAGCTGGGTATGGTGGTGCATACTTGCAACCCCAGCCCCAGGGCCATTGAGTCACCCTATCTGTGAGTTCCAGGCTTGAGGGAGACTTTGCCTAAAAGATCAAGGTTGATACTGAAAAGACTGGAGGAGGGAAAGGTTAATGGTGGGGTACAAGTGATCTGATGGGGAAGGGGGGGAAGGAAAAGGGGGAGAAAAGTAAACACAGAAGAAGGAGGGGTGGATAAAAGAACAGCGAGGACTTCTGAAAGAGTCACAAGGAATCACACTTTTAACTCTTAACAAAAAAATAACAACAAAAGCTACCTTACAATACATGTAACTATACATGTAGGTGTGTATTTGTAGTTTTAATGAATTTTTCTCATCTGGGCAGACAGTGCTCCCTACAAGAGCCAAACACCACCACTTAGCAAAACCCCAATAGCAGACATGAGATGCCCTCTTTTGAGTGGCAGGCCAGGGATGTATGTATGTATGTATGTATGTATGTATGTATGTATGTATGTATTATTGCTGATTCAGAAACAAGGCCCCAAAGCCCTGAGCTGGATCTGACTGGAATTCCCTCTTCCTGAGGACTAGCTTTCATAGGACTAGAAAGCTCCACACAAGTTTCTAAAGGATTGAGGCGACCTCAGTTCTACCCATCCATGGTGCCTATGAACAACATCAGTGACCAGTGTGGCACAATAACCTCAAAGGTTCAGTACTGGCACTCATACCTTGGGGTAACCGGCTGCACTCATCACTCAACAGGAGGAAAACCACACCTAGAACTCAGAACCTAACCAACTACTCATCGTTAATGAAGTCAAGGTTATTGAAGGGGAATCCACAGCCAGTATTTATTAAACCAGCACAATCCCTATCAACAATCTACAAATATTTGCTCTTAGACCTACAGCTGAGTAGTCTTTAACCCTCACCAAATCCTTCTCTTTGCAACAGAGACCACTGCAGACAACCATAATCAATCAAATGCAGAGCTGCGGAGCACAGTCTCCATGGACGTACGTACAAACTTTCCCATACCTAAGGCCCAGGGAACATTGTTGATGAGGGTGGGGGTATAGAGGAGGATTTGGAGAGAGAAAGGGAAAGGAGAAATGTAATTAAATTATAATCGCAAAAATAAAAAGGAGAACAATCAAGGTGGACAGTCTGGAAGAATGAGACTGAGATTAATCCTTAGCTACCACATGCACATGAACGCATATGCCTGGTATGTAAACACATATGTAAAGCCCCTGTGCACACATATGAGCACACACACACACACACACACACACACACACACACTGCTTTGACTTCTTATAAGACCGAAGATCTCACGGTATTCTAAACACTACATCCAATTTACCCACTTGCCCTCAGGTCCCAGGAGTTTAATTCTGTGTGCATAAGAAAAACTTGCTTCTTTGAAATATGCACTTTGGGTAAGGATAAATCATCACTGATATTTTGCCCCAGTCAATTGTTTCTGGGATGATTAAAAGTCCTGGAATTTATGGCTTCTTCTGAAAGAATCCAGACCAATGAAGTTGAAGATGTGCTGCATTTGATGGAGCTTGGCTCTCGGGGGTCCAGCTTATCTGAGATCATGTGTGTTTCCTTTGTGTCCCTACAGTAGCTTTGTAATTAGGACATGTTTATGTTCAATCTTTATGGCTCCCGCACATTATCGGCCTTTTCTCTGTTATAACAAATCATTTTATAGTTAACTGAAGGGGAATGGAAAAAAAATCATGCCATGGCCAGAAGAGCAGCAATTATCTTGTCTAGATGTTACCTTCAGAATTTGCACAGTGAAAACTGGTTTAATCAGGTCTTTACTTTTAAAAGACGCTTAAGAGAAGCTCATATATGTGAGCACCATGGCTCTCATGTGTCACTGTTCCTCTAATAAATAGTCATTGAATATTACTGTGCCTCAGGAATGTCTTAGCCCTTGAAAATGAGATTATGAAAAAAACTAAGTTTCTAACTTTGTGAAGTTTACATGTTGTGAGAAAGAGAATAATAAAAGACAAAGTGACTTCCTTGTCTCAGAACATCACATGATTTCAGGAACACGGAGCACGGTCACCTTCCACACTGGTGGAAAGGTGTGCGCATGGGGTGGTGGTGCAGTGTAAGGAAAAGAGGGCACACTGCCCTGTAGTTAGATGTCTCCCAGAGTCAGTGGGTCAGAGAGTCGTGGGCCTTCAGCCACCGTTCTTCTTCCAAGAACTGGGAGCAACCAATGGTATCACGGAGAGAGATGGTGAATGTTTTAGCTCTGGTGTTTATCAAGAGGGCTTGGCTCTAGTTGACTCTCATAGTTAGGATGATATTGCTGAGTGGTACCCTGTGCCCTCCTCCTCTCTGTTGCCAGCAGCCTGAGAGTGCAGAGATGATGTTTCCACTTCGTTCCTGTGGCTTTCTGAATGTACAAGCTGTAACTGCATCTGCCCAAATCTCACTAGCATCATCTGTCAGAGGAAATGGTGGGATCAGAAAAGTCTCTAGAGTTCCTTTGGCACATCACTGAAGACACAGCATCTGCCTCCTGCCTCCCAGTGCCCCATACCCTCCAGAGCTCTTACCAGTGCAGCATAGCTGAAGCCCGACTTTTCAGTAGGTTTGAGTAACACCCAGCCAGCATGCATCTGCCTTCTGCTGTCTCTCAGTATAGATGAGCACATTGTTCAAATACAGATACCATGATGTGGGAAGTCCTTCCGTCTATGTGTTGCTTTTAATGGTTAATGAATAAAGAAACTGCCTTGGCCTGTTGATAGGGAAGAAGTTAAGTAGGCTGGGAAAGTTAGGTAGAGAAAACTGAATGCTAGGAAAAGAAGGGCAGAGTCACAGAGAAGCCATGGACCCACCAGAGATAGAGGTGCTGAAATTTTGCTAGTAGGCCATGACCTCATGGTGATGCACAGATGAATGGAGATGGGTTAAACTAAAATGTAAGAGTTAGCCAATACGAATCTAGAGCTAATGGGCCAAGCAGTGATTTAATGAATAGTTTCTGTGTAGTTATTTTAGTTCTGGGCAGCTGGGAATGAACACTAGGCCTCCTTACTACAATACCATGATGTGTGAGGATCAATTTAGAGAAGTCTCCCTGATCTGTGGCCTCTTGCCCTGACGTGCCCTGAAGTCATTTCCCACAGTTCTTACTGATGGCCAGCATGTCACTGCTTTGCTGTTTGCACTTGGTGTCTTTCTCCTTGTGGAGATCAGAGGAAGCACAGTGTCGGGATGATTGGCCACTTCCCTCAAAGGCGCATTGAAACGGAACAGAGATCCAGAGTCCCTGTGGCCATGCAGCTCCCCCGCCCTCCTCCTGAGTCACCCTGTTGCCTGGGACTTGGTTATTTTTCCGTAACTAAGCCAAGAGAACAGCTGTCCCTGGCAGACCTGGCTTCCTGCATGCTGCGTCATGGCCTCATTGCTTCAAAAGGAGCTCCAGGAGGCCTGGAGTGATACAACCCTGACAGCCTGTCCTGTTCTCATGGCTCCTCCTAGAATCTGCCCTTCTCCTCTTGCCTCACAGACACAGTCCACGATAAAGCTGAACCTTCCTGCTCTGAACCTGTGTGTCCTTGTATCCTGTCTTCAGTAAGAGAGTTCACTGCCCAGTCTCACACTGGCCAAGAACTTGACTTACTTTTCACATTGGAAAGGGTGTCTGTGATGTTGGGTTTATTTGACTTTATATAGCACTTATAGCATGAGGGGGAATGGCTCAAGGTGGCAGGAAGACACTGTATCAGGAGCCAGGGGTGGATGTGGCTTCACAGTCAGGAAGCACAGGCCACTTGAAGCCTTGTGCTTAGCTCAGCTGCTCCTTTTTATTCAGTCTAAACTGCTAAGGGTGGGTTTTTACAGTGTGACCAACCTAATTTAGATAATTCCGTACAGACATGTCCAGAAAGTTGTGTCTAAATCCCAAGAGTTGACAGTCAAGATTCGCCATCAGACCGGCCATAAGCTGCCTGGTCAAGCACCACTAAAAGACAGTACCTCATCATAGCCCCCAGACAAGACCAACCTACCATGGAATAGCACTTCCAAAACTGTAAGCCAGACTAGCCCCCTCTCTTTGAAAGACGATTATCTCCATCCAGTATTTGTTGTTATCCTAGAAACCTGACTGACACATGTAATGCATGTTTTCAAAATCATTACCTCATTTTCATTTATAAAATGGGATTTCAGTGCATATGTGTCTGTATACTTATCTAACTATCTGGAATCACTTTAAACAAGATCACAGATGTCATATTATATAATGAAATGCATCTGTACATTTGTCCAAAACTTAAAGACCTGCTGTGTAACCAACTATCTACTATCAAAACTGCTCCTAACACAATAAACAATAATTTCCTAATTTATAATACTAGTACATATTGTTTGCCCCAATTATATTTTATAGATTTTTTTTTTTAAAAAACAGGGCAATCCTGTATTTTTAGTGGATGGCATAAGCTTTTTGGATCTCTTGGACATAGCCTGGTTTAACTTGTTTTTCACACTGTATTTTGTACTGTGTCAGGGAGATCCAGAACCTGAAATGTCACTCAAGCTTGTATGAGTACATATAAACACACAGAAAATGGGATGGATCTGCCGAGAAGGAGTAACAAAAGAAGAGGCTGGATTCACAAAGTCACTGTCTGAGGATCTGAATGCCTAGAAAGATAAAATTAATCACAAAATAAAAATGCTAACACGTAGCACCCAACGCTTCTTAACACTACGTGAGTGGTCCTGCATGCTTTAGTCAGACATTAAGTGAAACAGGCACACTGTGGCTGCTTAAAAAAAATAATTTCCTCTCTTTGCCCTCCCCCACCCAATCAATCATTCAACTAGTTCAATTCAGTTAGCTCCTGCTAGACTGCACACCCTAGGTGTGGGACTTCCTCTGGCTGATGTGACTGCCCTGAAGGCGCTCTGAGAACATGAGACAGAACCAACAGCAGGAGGGGGATGTTACAGTTACCATATGAGAAGGGGTTGGGAATAAATGGCACACAATTAGAAATAATTCTCACTATTTGGAGAAAACACTATGGCGATTCTTAAAATACCCATTTATCTGAGCATTTGTCTTTATTCCTTAGCCATCTATAGTTCCACAGTCCAAATGGTGCCTAGAGATAACTGTGCATTCTACCTGTTGCAGAAAAGCTGGATCTAGGTCACAGAGAAAAGATATGAAAATTTGTATACTGTAGTATGTGTGTGTTATATATTCTGTTACTGTTCTAGATGTCTTATTTTACTTACTCATTACCAAATCAGACATTTTAGGCAGTTATATAGAAAAATGAAGGATTGTAGAAAATAAGACTATTTTCATTTGTTTCCTAAATGTAATTTTGCCCAGGACAAGAAAAAAAATCAAAGTAATGAGGAAATAATTTTTCATGTGTGTGTGTGTGTGTGTGTGTGTGTATACATATGGAGATTAGAGGTCAATGATGGATCTTATTTCTCACCATTTGTTATTTTGAGACAGGGATTTTTATTGACCTGAAGTTTGTCAACCAGCCTTGTCTGACTAGCAAGCTCCACAACAGTCCATGTGTTGTGACATCAGCCATCATATCTGCTCCTCAATGAGGGCGCAACTGACCGTACTCAGGTGCTTGTGTCTGACAGCGCACACTTCACCAGCGGAGCCAACGTCCCACCTGTGACCTCGTTTCCATGAATAACTCGCTGCTGTCATTCGATACATCCCCTCTCCCTCTCTTGTAATTTCCTTCTCTATTCTCTCTTGTCTCTATCTCTTTTATTAGCAATATTCATCCAGCCTTATTTTTGTTTAAAGTGTTATGTGGTTTGTGTTACGCTGTAGACATTCTCTAGTGATGAGTTGGCCTATGTTCCCATTTCATGTGGAGGTGAGAGGCAGGGAGCAGTGAGACCCAGACCCTGGAGAAAATCCCTGAGCTGTATGTAGAGGCCAGTGCAGCAAGCCACTGTTTCACCGTGGATGAGGATGGAATTTCTGCCACTTCTTCACGATGTGTTTTTCATTGTGTATTCTGCCCATGCACCTGAGCCTGGCTTCCTCTGTGGTGATCCTACCAAGCTGAGTATATGGTAGTCCAATCTGGAAATGTTGTTAGACCATGATGTCAATGATTAATCTTATCTGTGAAGAGGAATCTATATCTTATAAGTACACAAGTGCTAAACTATGAAAGGCAAATCATTATTTTAATGCTACAATGGATCTTTAGCCTCCAGATGTTACTAATCCCAAGTTTTTTAATCTGCATTTGGCAGTACTTAGCATGGTATTATATGGGCCAATCTTTTTTTTTTTTTTTTTTTTTTTTTTTTTGCTTAATTCACCTGTAATTCAAGGATTTGTAGATTGAAAAGAGAATAGGACCCCTGAATGAGGGTCTAGTGTTATGTAAATAAATGCTGGGCTAGAACCCAGCATCTAGGCACCAGTTACGAAGAACTACATGTGACAACCTAATAACACACACTTCTACAACAAGCAGAATGCTTGAATTTTAAAAAAATGGAGACAGTAGCATGTGTACCATGAGGCAAGATTTTGAGTTATAGACTATTTGTGGCACTTGAGAGGTGCAGCCCTTGGAGAGACTGGGAAGAAGGTTACGCCTTCTAAAAGGAAGGGTCTGTCCATAGGCTGGCCACCTAATGACTGTCACACATTGGTACATCCTGGCCTGCTTGGCATCGCCCAAGTGATGCCCGGCTCTACCTTGTGACCCTGTGGGGTTTCCGCTGTGAGGTATTCACCAAAGATGGCTCCTTTGTTGCTGGGCTTCCAGAGTTCTAGAGGAATGAGATTCTCTCCTTTATCGATTACTCAGCCTCACGTATTCAGTTATAATAAAAATGAGCAGACTAAGACAAGTGGATATTGTGGTCACTTAGCAAGGAAGCACAGAAAACACGTCTTGTACACCCTGACACCGGGAAGAAAAGTGTGGGCAGAGTTCACACCCCGGGGGTCTGCCTCTGGAGACTTGTCCTCAGTGCTGATGCCAGGCCTTCTTAGGAGGCTCCGGGTCAGGACAGTGCTCAGTGAAGCAAGTAAAAAGACAGCCGTGTAACTTGAACCATTGTAGCACATGCAAAGACACAAATCACCTGCAGGTTTCCTACAGAGAGGGAGGCTTCAGTGGCTGATGCCTCCTGGAACATTTCTGGCCCTGGTCTGTGGATAAAGAAATAATCGAGCGGGCCCAGTGAACTTCTCTGGCTCAATCTGCTGTTTCAGATGCTTCTTCTATTTTTGGCACAACTCTTCTGAGCATTTTTCTAAGGCTGATATAAACTGGTGGGTCGATGTGACTCAGAACTTTTATCTTTTTCTTCTTGGCCATTTTGGTGTTTTTGATGTATTCAACAGCTAAAGTAGAAGCCACTTCTACCTGAGCATTTGTTTCATTGGCTTTGCCTTGTTTGATGCTGCCCATATAACTTGTTTATTGGTCCACACGGTGGACTAGCCCTGGACGGATTCATCTGGGGTGAGATTGCGAAGGAGAGTAGATGGAGACAGGACAGCAAAGTCACTGGAGAGGACGTGGTTGGTTCTTTCCACCACTCAGTCTGTTCTCGAATGACAATGGCTTCTAAACCCCAGACTCTGTGGTCTCACCATTGATCACCATTGATCACGAAGAACAGAAAGAAGAAGAGTTAAAGACAGAAATGGAATACACAGGAAAAGATGTGTCCATGATTTCAAAAGTAGACACAAAAGATTAGTGAATGGAAATTTCCCCACGACCCATTCTATATAGACATGAGGATGGTTGTACATTTTACAAAACTTTATCATGGGGTTGAAGGGTAAAGTGTTTGCCGCACATGTCCGAGGAGCTATGATCAGATCCTCGCACCCACTGGACTTGGTAGTCCACATCCTCCATCCTAGCATGGGTGGAGGGAGGCAGGCAGATTGCTTTGAGTGCACTGGAAAGCCAGACTAGCCAATTGGTGGGTTCTGGGCTTAGTGAGACCTTGACTCAAAAGACAATGTGAAGGGTCATAGTGGAAGACACCCAACATTGGCCTTGGACTTCCACATGCATGTGAAGACATGTGTACTCCTTACCTTTGCACCTAAGTGTACATGCATACATACATGACATGTACATACACACACACACACACACACACACACACACACAAGAAAATCCAGCTCAGACGAAGGGAAAGCAGTGGACAGACACCATCTTGCCTTGATAGCCTTGGCTTCTATGACAACCTTCTTTCAGCATGGGTCCCAGTGACCACAACTCTTGTTATTTATGATGGTGTAATAGTGTTGGTGTGTCTGGTTGATAGGGCAGAGACTATGGCTTGTTACTCTGCTGGGGTAAGAGAGACATCGCAGCCTCTTATGTCCTGTGGTCTCTCCCTCTGATCACTCCCTAAAGCAGTATATTGGGGAGAGGTGCCCCACGATCAGCTTTATTATCATGGAAGCATGTCCTCCAGGATTGCATTATGACCCCAGCCCCGGCTTCTGTTGTGACTGCAATGTCTGTGTAAGACCCCAGTCCAGAGCCACCCAGGTAAACACTCCTGAAATTCAGACCTAAGGTAGATGACTATGATTTGAAGCTACTGCATTTGAGATAATTTAGCATGCAGCAAAATATAATGAATAGGGAATGGAGAAATGGCTCAATGGTTCTTGCTGTGTAAACCTGAGAACCTAAGTTCAACACCCAGCACCCACACCAAAAGCTTGTTATGGCAGTGTATCTCTGTTTGCCTAGAAGAGGGGACATGGGATTAGGAGAATCTCTGGAGCTTGGGGACAGCTAGTTTTGCCAAATTGGTGAGATTTGGGTTCAGGAAGAGACCCTGTTTCAAAAAATAAGGTGGAGAATGACAAAACAAGACACCTAAGGTTGATCTCTGGCTTCCATGTGCCTAGGTACACATGTGTACAGGAACCTGCATAAACACATGCACACACAGACATGTACATATTCATACATAAACACAAGCATATGCAGCATGTACACATGCATACACTAATCAACAATAACCCCACCACATATACATTTTAATATCTCTTTCCTAGAGTTTGGACTGCATCTACGGACACCATTAGTTTCTCTACAGTAGTGACTTCTCTGAGCAGCAGCGTTTTGTGGCCCTATGCCCTATGCTTCCCTGCCATTGTTCACCATCCAAGGGCCATAGCGTATAGAGGATTGCATCGTGGAGGACTTAGGGGCTCAGCTTCCACGCCCCACATTGTGCCCGGCGTATCTCAAGTTTCAGAGAAGACGACAGCTTTTCAGGGATCGAGCTCCCGTCTGGATTTGACTTCAGCTTTCTGTCGCTGTTGCAACGGCATCTTGCATTCTTGGATATTTTTGACGTTTGAATCATGTGTCAAGATGTTGTTGATTCTGGTGATGGCAACGCTTCCCCTCATATGCAGAGCAGATTGTTAAACATGCCCAGGCTCGGGCTCCCTTCATTCTGCTGCTCCTGATTTTATTGTCACTTCAGAAATAAACCACAACACATAAAGGCGCCCCGAGAAGGCAGCTTTAAGAGCCCTGGGGTAGAGCTAAAAGCGGCTCCTTGATTTTATGTTTGAGCATCTGGTGCTTACATCAGCTACCACTTGTTTTCAAATATATATTATTTGTGACTTTGTTGAGCTGAATAACATGAGCCCCTTCGGTACAGCAAATATTGTCAACGTACAGTGATTTAAATAAAAGAAGTAGCTAGTCATTTCTTATGAGTCTGCAGATCTAAGGAGAAAGCTTCTGTAGACCCAGAGCATGAAAGTGTGGACACTCACAGAAGCAGCTAAGCCTCTGCTCTCTGGCACAAGACACAAGTTAAGTCCTCTTAGAGAAGGCACTGTGTCTGAGGTCAAGGCTAGCATGTATAGTGTGCTTACTATTTCCTAGGCCTTCAACTTAAACACTTCAAATGCTGTATCTAATCAGCCTATGTTACCATAAATCAGACAAAAGGGATCCCATGTTTCTGTCTAGAAATTCCATGTGTCAAATTCCATGTGTGACCAAAGCATTATTGGTCTAAAGAGGTCACTGGATCTTGCCTAACATCTTCCTCAAAGTCTGGAAGACAAGAGCAACCAGAGACTGGAGAGTTTGGAGAAATCTTTTAATAGGCTCATTTGCAAGTGCTGATACTGTGGGGGCAGAGATAAAACGAGTTTTTAAGGCCATGATCACCATTTGGTCCAATTTATCCCACAGGCTCATGGGTTTGAACAGTTGGGACTCTTCTTTGGGGTGCTGTGGAACCTTAGGAGGTGATTTTTGCAGGCAGAAGTGGGTCACTTAGGGGTTTCCTGATCTGCTCATATGTGACCAGTCATAGGCAGAGCTCCAGGCTCCAGGCTTTTCCAGCCACGGTGGACTTTATTCCTTTAAGCACGACACAAAATAAGTCTCTCTTCTCCTAAGCTGCTCTGTTGGGCTTTGGTCAAAGCAAGAGGAGTAATTAACACCCATGTTTAACTGACATGTGCTAGACCTGTATTAACCTAAAGCAGAAGGCTGGCAGGGGAGTGGCTCAGCAGCTAAGAGTGTGTGCTGCTCCGCAGAGGGCCTAACTTCTTAGCATCCACATCAGGTGACTCACAAAGGCCTGTCACCCCAGCTCCAGGGTACTGATGCCTTCTTCAGGCCTTGATGGGTATCTGTACGCATGTTCATAAACCCACACGCATGAACGTGTACACACGCATGTGCATGCACATGTGCGTGCACACACGCACAAACACAAATAGATTACACCTTTGAAAATCTCCAGATCCATGGCTGGAGAGAAGGCTCAGGGGTACAGCAACTGGCTGCTCTTCCAGGAATCCTGAGTTCAATTCTCAGCAACCACACGGTGGCTCCCAACCATCTACAATGAGATCTGGTACCCTCTTCTGCTGCATAGGCATACACGCAGGCAGAACACTGTATACATTATAAATAAATAAATCATGTTTTTGTAAAAAGTTGAACAGGATTCAAATATATTTTTTAAAAAAAATCCAAATCTCATGTTCTCCTCTTCCCCTGATTGATTTTTTTATTATTAATTGTTTTAGTTGGTTTTTGAAATAATGGGTTTCTAAGACATTTCAAATGTACACATTACGTGCTCATATTCTTTTGGTACCCAATCCCCGATTCCTACTTCCTCGTCTGGGATGTGGTAGACCCCAGGGTATCTACTGTGTCTGAATACATGCTCTCTTTGGAGGACCTCGGGTACTTATTTCACAGTCCTGCATGAGGACAGGGTCCACTGGCTACCACAAGAAGCTCCAGCTCCCAAGGTAGTGAGTGCCTGGACCTTGACAAGAGTTTGGTGGATTTGGCTGGAGTTTGCTGGCTGGATGCTGCCCTTCTGTAGTCTTATTATGCAGTACCGTGCACAGCAGGGTACACAGCTTCTTTGTGGACAGCCAGGGTGTTTCTAATGACAGACACTTCATCTCTCGCTTACACGGCACAACAATAAAGACAACCTGCCCGGCAAATCATTCTCTTCTTATGAAGGCAGGGGCACGGTGACAGCAATCATCTGTGCTGCCCCAGGCAGGATGGAGAGCCGCAGTCTGACCACCCGTGAGTGGTGCTGGCAGCCCCCGTGCTCAGTGCTGTTGGGACATTTCCAACCCTTTTCACTGGTGTTCTATTTTGCAGTCTTTCATAGATCTTCTTTTCCATTTGTTTTAATGTTTAGGTGACACAAGATTTTAAACATGAAGTTGAAGATCCCTCTGTCCTCCTAGGTCCTGGTGTGTTTTTTTTCCTAGAGTCACTGTGCCAGAAAAGGGGCCTTTCCAACTCCCTCTTGCTTCATATTCCAGTTATCTACCTGGCTTTTCCCTATTTACTGCTGTAGACTTTTATTAAACCTGACTCTCCAGGCAGAAGTGTTTTGGCCACAGGTATGGGGCATCCACACTGAAGTCCAGGCTAAGATACCCAGAGTACCATGTTTTTCCCCTTTCTGTAAAGGACTCTCCACCAACCAGCTTCTCGATTGCAGTATAGACCATGGTGTAAGGGATGCCTCCCAGTACCCTGCTCACATCCTAAATTCTGCATCAGAAAATTCAGACTATAGAGCAGCAATCTGCTTGTTGGAAGGGATGCGTGAAGTTGGTTCTTCGCGGGATATGGAATTGTACTACCTGATGCTGAGTAACACCCGCTTGCCCAGCTGCTCTGTATGGACAGTCCAGCTCTCTGAGAATGATGTGAATAGTGACCTCAAGGGCATTTATTCTGACTCAAAGCCCAGTGTTATGAGGGAATCCACCGTCCCTCAGAGTTGTTCTCTACACTTCATACATATTGCTTATAGGTTCTTCAATAAATAATTTCACACTTCCCACCACCACTGCCCATGGAAACATCTACCTCAAAAGAGAAACTTCATGCATTATTCTTTTATAGTAAGCAAATGTTACCCCATATATTGATAGGCACACACATGTGCACGCATGTTCCTGGTGTATAGGTATGTGTATAAAGACAGTTTAGGCAGTTTTGGAGTGGTATACAAGAGAAAGATTGTAAATCAGGCAGAGTCTTGCCTTTCTGTATAATTGTATTCAAGTTCTTAACCAAAGGATTTTGTACAGCAGCCATTGAAAGCTAATCAGGAAAAAATATGTTTGTTGAGTAAAACTCCCATACCATTAATTAGTAGGAGTGCTCACTGCTACTGGCTCGGATGCTGTTCTGAAAACATTTTTGAACTTTGGACTTTACACAGGTACTTCAACTGATTTGAGTTTCTGAGGAGGAGTTTCTTATGGAGTCTGGGTCTCACTCATTCAGCTAGGTTGGCCAGTGAGCTCCAGCCAACCACCTGTCTGTGCTGGCCCCACAGACTTGATTGCACACCTGATCTAAAGTTCATCAGCTGACTCAGATAGAGATGCCTTTGGATATTTTCCTCACGCTCTCTTTTAAGTATACACATCAGGCTGGTTGGTGGTGGTGCACAGCCTTAATCCCAGTACTTGTTAGAGGCAGGTGGATCTCTGTGAGTTTGAGGCCAGCCTGGTCTACAAGATATAGTTCCAGGAGAGGCTCCAAAGCTACAGAGGAAACCCTGCCTCAACAAACAAACAAAAACCACAAAAAAAAAAAAAAAAACAAACAAACAAAAAACAAAAAACCAAATAAAAAGAACACACATCAAAACCAAAAAGATTCAGACCTGGAAGGACCTTTCCCCACGTGTAGAACAATTGAACAAGTGTACAACCTTCCTTCTTCTCACTCTAGAATACAGCATGTGCCTGTGAAATCTCTGGCTGAACCCTTCTGGTCTGGTGGCTGACACCTTCAGGTCTCCACCTTGGCATTTGTCATTGTTGCAACGGCACTTGTAGCAAGACTCTTGGTCAGTGCTGAAGATACCTGTTCGTGCTAATGACTTTCCATACCTGGCCAAGTCCTCACACTCTGATGTTATCTGGACATCCCTGCCTACTTTCCACATGCATTCTGTGAGGTCAGCTTAACCGGAAGGCTCCGGCCCACCTGCTATCCCCTGATAATTTCCAGCTGTTACTATGACGTCCCATTTAAATGTCCGTGAGTCCTCATGCTCAGCAGCCATCCAGTTCCATACTGAGGCCTTTTTCATACTGCCTGGGTGAGATCTGTTTTCATTGCTTCAGCAACTGCCGGCTCTGGATTTTTTTTCTACCCTTTGATGTATACGTAAGCAAAAATGCATTTTGCTTTACAGCAGATTCTCAGGAGAATTCAGCATCGGAGCCCCCAAATCTCCCCACGCAGCAAGAATCACATTGCCAGGAAGAGGCAGTTCATTGCATTTGACCTGAATATGGGATCTGCATTGGGCTTTCCATTTTTAGGTTTGTATAGCACACAATTTTATTTACTTAGCATATATATTCCCAGATGAGAATCATGTCAGCCAGCTTAAACTCCATATACTTACAATGTGATTTCTCCCTTCCTTTTTTCACCTTTTTAGAAATAAGATTATATTATAAGAAAAATTCTTTTTTATCG